CTGTGCAACCAGGAAATGGCTCTCACTTGCGTCTCGCAAGGAAAACAAGCAGGTTTCATAGGCAAACGCTCACAAGGAATGAGCCATTCTGGATGGGATAGACCTGAACAAACAACGCAGCCCCCAGTTTAAACCAATTCCATAGAGCTACACAACTCGTCCAGCAGTCTTTGCAAACGGGCAGCAAACAGGGAAGCGTAAGGAAATGTGGCCACGATGTAAAGCACTTATCTGCCAAATATCATGGTGAAAAGATGCAGACGGGACACTGTATCCTTCCTGGAATCGAAGCGCAAAAGAGGTGGCGGTCTCAAGCAAGGGAAGGACCTGCCCTGACAGACTAGGGGGCCGGGGGCTCCTAGCATCCACCGAGGCAACGCAGCTGGGGAAAGCCCTGAAGGAAGAGAGGCGTATTCATTTTAGGAGCACACTTCTCTGCGTTCATGTCAGGAGCACGTTTTACACCATGCCCCCCTTCGTTGGGGAAACTGGCTTTTATGAAAAAGGCACTTCAAAACTGCAGGATTTCCAGGTGTGCTTAGGGCAGCCCCCTCTTGTTCTGAGCCTGAAGACAAACTGAGGGTTCACCCACTACCCTATTTTAAGGGATTGCCGTCTAGGTGAGGCTTTGGCTACTTCAACGCAGGGATGGCCCCAGTTCCGCCGCTCCTCTGGATCATCTCGTGAGCAGCAAATTTAGCCTGGGGCGGAAAAAGCAGAGATGACCAGCTTGTATATTGTACAGAGGGGTCCCAGGGAAAGAACCCGAACTGCAGCTTGTCCATCGCTAGCAACTCAGTTTCTGCACAGAAGATCCTAAAAATGACGCAACTTGGGGGTGGGGGAGAAGCTGAGGAGCAGGACACTCCCCTGGAGGAACCTGGATACTTGAATTGAAGGAGATGCCGCACGGGCAGGCCTAGTCGAGGCCCCTGGACCCTTTGACGTGGGGACACCTCCTGCGTTGAACAGAGAAGCCGAATGGGCACCGAGAGCTGACAAAATTCTCCGCTGGGCTTTTCGAGTCAGGCGGAAGACGAAGAACAAAAGGTCTTCTCGTGCAGCTCCCCGCCCCGCCCCACCCCGCCACACATTTGTTTCCCTCGGCCGTTCTTGTTCTCTGGCCTTCTGCTATCTTAACTC